GCCACCGTGTCTTAACACTATACAGTATCTAATCCCAATTTTCTGAACCTCTAAGGGAAAGGAAAAATAGTTTAAAAACTGGGTGGCTTGCGAAATCTGGGGTACAATGACATTACTCGACTGAGGGGAGGGAAACAACTTTTGTTTCAAGATATCAAGATCAAAAAATCAATAATTTGAGAAATCATGAATCCACAGTATTGTACTGAGGTTATATGATGTCTGTATTTAATCAAGTTCTTCAACTGCACTTAAATTTGACTTGGCTCACAAAAACTCACCACTCCAAGTAGAATTCCTATTAAAACTGTTGACACTCCAAATATAGTGTAGGAAGCCCACACTGGAAGGCCATATGTTACCGTCAGTAGCTCATGAAGGTCCTGCAACAAGGACAAATAAATCCTTGATAAGGTCAAAGCTTTCAGATCTCTTAAGACCTACTTGATCACAAGATATGTTGAGAAATCACCATCTCTATCCACTGCCTTCTAAGTAGCTCATTCCAGAGTCTTTACCATCATCCTTCTCCATGTGTAGCCCTCAGTCTCCATAAATGCCTTTTTCCATATTACTTTTCAGTTTAGTTAAGGATAAAATGTGCAGTTCCAGCAAATATCCACACCCATCCCATGGAAGGTCATTCAAGACAAACTGGAACATTTCCCAGAGGAGTGGGGGCTGTGGCTCAAATCAAAAATTTCCAAGAGGAGGGTATCGGAGCAACACAATCTATTCCATTCCTGCAGATTCGAGCAAAATGCAACTAGGAGTATTGCTACACTGTACTTTCCTAGATGGGATCTGTCACAATTGAAAGGAATTTGTCAGGCTGTACCAAAACTGCACAAGTATCTATTTAATAGGGCGTCTTACAAAACATCCAAGAACATGTCAAGTGAACATTAACTCATCATGATCACTGAGTTGAACTCTGACATCTTCTGCAGATATTGGAGCTTATAATCCATCAAATATTTTCGCTCGTGCACGATTGGTCTAAACACATCACGTGACCAAATATTCCCCAGCTAAAACTGGGGAACATCCGAGAATATTCCCCAATTTTCAAAACTGTGTGTATTGCGAAAAATAGTTAAAGGATGATAAACACAATAGCCTCCATTTGACTTTCAAAATATGCTTGGATATTTGTCCTTGCACATTATCTGTTCTTCAAAGCTCACAGTTTTCCTCGCGCTGCACTCTCGGAAAACTGTTCGCTTTTCGGAACAGATAATGTCCACAGACAAATATCCAAGCATATTTTCATGCCAAATGGAGGCTATTGTTTATAAAAAGGCAAGTAGGAGTATTGCCACTTCCCCAAGTGGGATGCTAGTCTGTCACTGAAAGCAACTTGCCAGGCTACACCAAAAATGCACCAAAAGCCATTTTGTAGGGTGTCTTATATAATATCTGAAGAACATGTCAAGTGAACATGACCCTGGTTACTAAGTTAAACTCTGATATTTCCATTTTAAGCTGAAATCAACTTCTAATAAATTATTTTGTATAATTTATTAATTACCTTCATCAAAACCGATAACTTGAATATCAGCCCAAGACCTCCCATGCTGTGTTTGTAGAAAGAATGTTCACCAAAATTCAGTTCATAAATGCATGTATGTGCTGGTCATACCAAAAATGATCAACATGGGCCATATTACAGTAACTGTACTTAATGAGCATACTATTTTTCTCTTGTTTAGTTATTGCACAAAACAGACAATAAAACATTAGGTTTAGTATTAAATTTGCCAATAATGAAATNTTGTTGCTACATTTGCTTTTTTTTATTAAATAAATATCATTTTTATTTTCATTAATGAAATCCAAACAGTCGGCGGTAGACTACCGGTAACCGGCTTTTATTGAAACTCCTGGTTATGGTTCAGCTGCATTGTTTTCAAACCAGTCTAATTTTTATTTATTGATATTACTTACAGATGAGAGCTTGGAGACTTCCACCATGGGATTGGTTCAATTTCTCTCCATTTCTGACCGCTAATGAAATCCATAAATCCTCTCAGTGACCTTGGCCCTTCATATTTTCGAAACTCTCCATCTTTTACACTGAAGATCGATAGAGCCATGATGTTATTGAGCCAATACCAATAATCAAACTTAATTTGATTACAGTACATAATGTACCTTAGTGTGCCATGTTCATCCACTTAATTCATACCTCTGTGCTGAAATAATTTGAATCATATAGTACAATATGTGTCCTTCTAAATCTCTTGGTTGTGTATTATTCCATTCTCATCACTCAATCCATATAACTTAAGTGTGCTAAACAACGCATTATGGGGACTCATCTCTAGCAGGTGCTACAGCACATGAGACCCTCCTTACAGACTCTATGATATGTAGCCTGCAAGCAGGATCACAAGGCTTGGGTAGGTTTGTCTTGGCTTCAATTTGCATGGCAATTATTACTCCCTAAACAATAACTGGGGTGACAATCACATTTGGATCCCGCTAATTCAAACTCAGTTATTTCCAATTCCCTGTTTTTTAAACTCAAAATCATTTCCCTTGGATTTGCCCTTCAGTCATTTACTATTCATAGGCAATTTTGAACTCTTACTGTTTCAAACTTTTTTCCTTTTCCCCTTAGAGTTTGAAATAGTGACGTTCAACTGTAGTCCCTCAAAAGATACATAACATGCAGAATTTTAGTCAAATAACGAATCTCGCCATCTCAAATATTTTCATTCATTACAGCACTATCTTGCAGTCCTTTTTCTTATGCAATGCTGTAAAAGTCCTGGGTTTGCAACAAAATGTATATCAAACTTGACTTGCCATCTTGTTTAGTTACCATTCACTATGTCCAGTACAGAGTATCTGACAATAACATCAATATTCCCAGTGACTATTTCTCTGGATAATGACTTCAAACGGAGTCATAATGAAGCAATAATCTTAACAACACTAAACAGGGCTTGAAAAAAGTACCGTCCTGTCATCCAGCAGAAGTAGAGTTTCCTTCTGGACAAGTAACATTTAAATCTCACTTGCCCAATGGGCAAGGGATAAGGTAAGTCGTCTGCAAACCAAAATATTTAAGACTTGCCAAAGGCCAGCAAAATTTGAAGGCTACTTGTCCCAAGGGCAAGCTGGAACTCAAGATTTTATAGCAATGCTAACTCATAAATTTATGGAAAAAAAGCAATTTTCTTTGACATACTTACTGGTAAATAGTTGGCAGAGAGAAGACCATGAATCTTCCACTAAGTACTAACAAGTAGGAGAAAAAACTGTTAAAAACTCTTCCAAAGATGCAATTAAAGTATAAATTACACCAGTAAAAAAAGAGGAAGACAGAAAGATTCTGTGAAATCTCAATAGATTTCTCAAGCAGAACTTCCTTTACCACCTTGTAGAATTTACTTCCACAACAAATACAAAACAAATGTAAACTTGTGAATTATTAATATTAATATTTACCGGGTTCCTCAGTTGTGTCAACTTCTCCAACATTTATGCCAAGTCCTTCAGCTTTAAGAGCGAGTGTGTTCCACACTGGACCTACTTGTTTACAGGCAGGACACCAGGGAGCAAAGCTTCATTAAAGAACAAACGTAAAGGTAAAAGGTAACGTCTGAATACGAGCCAAGTGGCCCATCAGGCCAGAGCTTATCCCGGTTTCTGTAGCATGATGCAACTAGGAGTGTTTCTACTCTCCCCTGGATGGGATGCTAGTCCATCACAGGGTTACCCCCAGCATTCGGTACCCATTTATACATCTGGGTGGAGAGAGGCACTCAGAGAGTAAAGCTTCTTGCCCAAGAACACAACACAATGTGCCCAGCCAGGGCTCAAACCCGGACCACTCGATCCAGAGTAGAGCACACTAACCATGAAGCCACTGCGTTATACTCTAAATTGAATGGTCCTGACCAGCTCCATGCTGGCCAAGGTAATGGTGCTTTATTCTCAACTACATGTAGGCAAGATCAACAGTTTTAATCCTTATGTAGCTAATTGGAAAAAGACCCCTCCAGTCATCTGAGGCAAGCATATTTTACTGTTGGTCATTAAGTAGCTTTTCATACCCACTTGTCCTTTATAAGCCAAGCAATCTGCACACTAAATTATGACTTTCACACAAACAAGCATGTAACTACCCTAGCCAGGGTTAATTTGAGAGTTAATGTAATAGCCTTCCATTCCAAAAAAATTGTCTGGAGGGAATATTGGAATTCAGTTTTTTTTCAAGCCTGTTCCTCTCTCAACCAAGGAGTAGGTGACTGGCAAACTGTGGGTGGAGGGGTGGGCCAACCTGGAAATTATGGACAAGCATCACACCCAGGGGAGAAGCAATAATATTATAAATATTCTAACTGCTTTGGGTCACAGAAAACCTGTAGCTAAGCACCAGCAGCAGTAGTAGCCAAATTACATCACATAATATAATTCAATAGTTTTCACACTCAATTCCTTGTTGATGCAAGTCTCTAAATTAATTCCCAAAATCTGCATCAGATGTTATCTATAGTAATGCCAGAGAACCAATTTTCAAGAAAACTAAACAAATATTGTATGAAAGATGAGAAAATAACAAGGTCAGGACCTTTTTCAGTGTGCTTGGTGCTAGAGAAATGTATTTGTGACTGTTGTTTTACTGTATTAACAGCCATTCTTTAACCAATCAGGGGAAGTAGTTTGAGAGAGGCATTTAAATTCTTCAGTCACTCGTTTATGAATTTGGTGCTAAGTATCATACATCAAGTGGTCATGGAGATTGCCTTGACAAGTTATCTCATGTTTTTAAGATATCATCAATATCGTCATTCATGTCAAGCATTTATTTAACAATCATATTTTTTACGATAACTGAAAAGATTCTTGTGCTCTCCTTGGCTAATTTTCATTGTCAATAAGTGGACAGACACATGAATTTATAATTTATGCGTTGCATCAACGAGCGAGAGCATAGAATTTGACAATTTGTTATCGTAAAAAACAAATTGACATCAGTTGTTCATGCGTCTGTCCTGTTACTGACAACGAATTGTCATAACATTGTCAATTGAAAGTAGTCTGCAGATACACTCCACTTTCGCCTCTTGGATCCACAGCTACTTTGACAATGTTATGACGAAATTCATGATCAACAACTGGGCAGACGCATGAAAAACTGACATCAATTTGTTAAATTTATGCTCGATTTCTATGCGTGATGGAAATTTCAAGCTCATAATCTAATTGTTATTATTAAAGAGGAAACACTTCAAACTTTGATTTTGATTCCATCACAGTAGAAGACAATTGTAGCTTTTTAAACTGGCAAGACTCAATATGATTAAGGGGTATATTTACAATAAACGGACTCCAGATATTTATTCTGCAAGTGTGTGTGTCGCAGAGTCAGAATGCCTCCCTCCCTAGGGGCATTGTGGGTGTAACACGAGAACTAATTAAAGGTGCTAGGGGTTGGTTCTGGACATGCATCGCATTCAGCGGGTGTAGCAATATTCCTAACCGTTCCAAGTTCCAGAAGCCGCAGTAAAATTCCAGCACTGATGTTGATAAACAGTTGATAGACATTTCCGATCCCTGGGAGTCGAACAGACAGAGCCTTGCCTACGGAACCCTCGCGACTATACAATAAGCTTACCTATCAATTAATATTTCCATCACTTTTCTACTTACAATTTCACCATCCACTCTCCTTTCAAAATGCGATCCCAGTTTTCATTTCTAAGTTGATGATTTGGAGGGATTACTGGCGTTTTAGCCAAGCACCATGGACAAATTAACAAGAAAAATGCAAACAGGAGACTCACAATTCCCGCCATGTTGGACACGATGTTATGACGTCATTGAGCCAGCAAACTGCAGTTAGGAAACAGCGCTTTTACTCTTGAAGGCATGCCTACCAATTTTCAAAATGGCGTCTGTATCGCGCTGTCGTTCTTCACTGGTTTCTCTGCGGAAATCTGCGAGTTTAATAACGGTAATTTGTGTAATATTTTGCCCTTTGACTAAAGGAATCTTCCGCTTACTTGTCTTGCAATCTTGTAGAGAAAATCGAAGAACTGCTTAGCTCAGACGGCTCAATGTGGTAGGACGATATGCAGCCCTGCTTCTTTACAGCAGACGAGTAAAACTAGCATGTGAGTATACACGTGTTTAATTCTCAATTGACTTTGTCTTCGAAATGCTTTGGATCCACAAAGGATATTTTTGTTCACTGAAAGCGCGTGATCATCCTCGATTTTCATTTCACAGCTGATTTGCAGTTACCACAGGTAGCGCAAGCTGTGAAAGCTTATGTAATGCAACAGTGAAAACACAAAAAATGACAAAAATGAAAAATGAAAAATGTTCTTTACTTTTAAAAATTACCAGGATTTGTATAATGGAAAACCAGTGCTTTGTAGAACTAGAGGCTTAAGTGACGCCATTCGTTTGTTTCTTTGTTTCCTGTGAGGTGTATGTTTATCGCCATTTTGGTGATTTTTAGTTCAATTGTTTATTCCTTGCTTCTTTTTGGAGTTCCTTTTCCTGTTAAAGTTATGCAGTTTAGCGAAGTAGGGGGTCCAACAAAGGTTTGGGATGAGAGTGAAAATGGAGGCAGGATGTGGGATGAAATGAATTTTATTGGCGGATGTGGGATAGAAATACTTTGGCTAGAGCGGGATTTGTTCATTTTGACAGGTGGGATGTGGGATAGTTTTAAAATTGATGGGGGAATGCAGGATGAAAAGCAGAAAATCGCAGGTTACGGACATAACACAGAGAACTGCGGCTCTAACCAGGCAGGATCAGAATAAAAATTTTTACTTGGGTGGGATGGTAGGATTGAACCAAAAATAGTGGTGGGATGCAAGATTGAAAAACCCTATGTGTTACCCTTACCATTACCTTACCTCAAAGTAACATATCGGTCCACTAGGCATTTTCATGGGGCTGACCCAGGTCCTAATCTAGACCCAACAGGTGGTGCACATGACAGATAAGAGAGGACCATGCACACAGTGTTGGTGAACAGTTGCTAATCATTGACAAATGTCCGACTTTTACTCAAATATTTTTTTGGTTATGGACTGAATGTGAACGAAAACAATCGTAGTTATAGATTCTCTGTTATATCAGCTTGTGGTGTTGTTGTTTGAATCTCCTCTCTTTTGCCAGGTTAGCCAGTAACAAGGAGAAAAATTAACACGACTCACTGAAATTCTCGTACACAATGTTACATTTTCAATCCCAAACGGTGCAGAGTTTACAGCGTTTGCAGCGTTTACAATGTGTCTAACATTTGTTTGGTTTCCCGGTGTTAAATCGTGTCAAACGTTCTGTTTCTATCGTCTCTATCGTTTGTTTTCCTTCTATCGTTCGCTTTGTTTCGAACATTTAATTGCTCACCTCAAGTTTATTTATTCAAAGACCCACATGATCGGTTGACATCGCGAGGGATGTTGCAACCAATTTTGTAGTGTTTTGAAATGTCGAAAAAACTTCTAACAGGTTGTTTCATGCAGACAAGAAAATGCATGTCAAAATTGAAAGATCTTATCTTCTGCTAAAGTGCTCGATTACCTAATAATATAATGTCACAAAAATTAAGATATATCAACTGTTAAAGCTGTGAAATAAAAAAAAAAATGGATAAATCAGTGGAAAACCTTTCTGCTTCATTCAACCTAGAATTTTACTAGCTGTTAGAACCAAAGATTCTGATTGGCCAGCCTGTAATTGTATTTTATCAAAAGTCAACAAAAAGAGTCAACACAATCGTTTCGTCTGGGATACATCTAGGTTTTTTACAAAGGCACAGGAAGTTTCGTTTGTAGCTTAAAACAAGTTGTCATGTTAAACATGCCTTAATGTAACAGAAATTGACATGACATGAGTAATTTAATGCTGCCACAGAAAGCCACAAAACTTTCAGGTGATCCCAAGTTCACGGAGTTCAAACCTCTCATAGCACTGGCTCGTCACACAATAAATTTAGGAAGAGCAGCGTGGTTCTGGTCTAGTTTAGGAACAAAAATGATACTCCAACAGTCTTCCAAGTACCGTTTTCAAGCATTGTAAATTTAGTTCAAATATTTTGCACATTTTTAGAATGCATTGGGAAAGCAGGCTTGCTAATCCTTTCAGTAAAAAAACTCTTAACCCATCCTTGAACAATGTTGATGAACATTTTAAATGATCTGCACGTTGGAAGATTCTTAAAATATGTAAAATGTGCATTTGTTGTGCCTAAACTGTGCGAAAATTAATGCGCTAAATTCATGCCTAAACTGTGCCTGAGCATCAGTTGAAGCTGAAGTCAAGATTTATGTGGCAAGTCACCAAGTACCAGACACATGAACGTTTCCCTGCATTCCAAGAACAACAATGCCAAAGATAGTTCAAAACCTGGGTTCTAAATGATACTGGTGCTCAAAGAAGAAATCAAATGGATGATAGAAATGATGCAAATGTATGATAAAAACGAAACGCACGATAGAAACATTGCAAACGATAGAAACAATCCAAATGATGGAAACGAAACGAACCAAATGAATGATGCAAACGTTTTCACAAGCTGGACCAAACGCTTATGTTTAATGTTGAAATTCAAACCAAAACTTTGGTTCAAAAATATGAATGTAACGCTAGGAAATCACTTGTATCTTTGATGGTGTTGAATTTCTATGAAAAGTACCTATTTGACTTGATTCTGCAACTCATGTGCACCTCGATTTTTATGACTTTCGTCTCAAAATTTTAAGGGCAACGGAAAGGATGTCAAAAATTTCAAACTCGTTCACTCCTGTTTTTATCGTCAATTTCCTGTATGGTGTTTACGTTTTGTTTTCAAGTGAAAGTAAGTAGATATTCAGGGATTTTCTCATTAGGGGATAAATGCACATATAATTTACTTTCATTTGATGTCATCAGATCGTTAAAACTGTCCTTAAATTTTATACTCCACCGTGTTTTTGAGCGGTACATATTTTGTAACGGTTCCGTACACCAACACCGTGTGCATGGCCAGAGAGGTAAGCCTATCCACTGCAATGTTAATTTGGATTGGATAAATTTGGAACCAATCCAGCCTGCATTCATACATCCTGTATGAATACAGGGCTGTCATTAAGGGTTGTAACCCATAACACCTGTTATGTCTAAGTATGCTTGATTTTCCCTTGATGCTTCGGGTGAAATTGCCTGTCGTTGATAGAATTCACCCATAAAGTAACAAATTTGCTATGGGTGTGGAGAGTAAGGCTACAGGTGACTAAAAACTTAATGACAGCCCTACGAGTGTGATCTGTAGCACCACTTAGCCTCCTTTGGGAAGAGACATCAGTGATAAAACTAGTGAGGTGTGAACAAAGTGTTTTGCATGGAACAGGGTCAGTAACTTTCCATATTTGGTAATTTCCATTTTCTTTGAGTAGCTCACCAGGAGCTGACAAAAGTTGATTAATTTTCTTCCCACCTTGTGCCATTTTGGAAAATGGCAAAAAAAAACCCTTCCATTTGCTATTTTCTGATAAACAGTACACCTTGATCATTTTTTACTTTTGTTTGATGTAGTGTCCAGGCTGTTACAAAAAGATTCAGTTCCCAAGTGTCAAGAAATTTCCAAGAAAAATTTCCTCCTGTCCTGGGCTGCAATGTGCTATCTCTAGTGGTCATGGAGAACCTAATTACATCAAGTGAATTGGAGGAAAGTGCAGAAGGAGAAGATGAGGCCACGAGTGGAAGAAAACGCATAAGGCTATGGGACTTCCTAGATGACAATCCCTAGTTGACTCTTATTTAAGTGACAATAGTCCACATATTGACAGATCAGCAGCATGAATATTCGACCTTTTATGACTTTTTTTAACTAATAAGATCATGAGTTGCAAAAACATCATGCAATGGTTTGTTCCTTGGCATTACAATGCTTAAGGTAAAAGAAAAGGTTCCCCAAGTGTGCATGGAAAATAAATTTCACAGAATATCACTTACATCAGCTTATTTTTACCTTTTTCAGCCAGTTGTTAGTACAGCTAAAGCTCTCGTTGCAACCACTCTTGCAAGCAACCCAGTTCTACTTATAACCTCTTTTTGTAAAACCCTTACTGTTACTCAAATTCTGTAATTGAAAGCTGTCATAAGTGACTGCTCCCATAAATGAATGCAACGACTTCTTAAAATTACCATTGGTCTTTTTCTTTGTCGTTTAAGCTCTCATAACTGACTACTCAAAGATTCTGACTCATATTACTACTTGAACTTTGATACACTGTAACTACTTGATCACTTTGATCATAAATTTGTTGTTAAAGATCTCAAATTCACAGTTCAAGGTGATATATACTGTTGAGGAAGGAGTGTTACCCTGAAAGCAAGGTTGAAATCTTTATGCTAAAAGCCCTAGGAAAGTGACCAACCTCTAATGGCTATGTGGTTGCTTACGAGTGTGCCTCGTAAGCCACCAGCTCTCATTACGGCCACTCCTCTCTGCTCAACAAGAGACCAAAAAAGAGGCTCTCCTTGCAGCCTGTTATGAGAGCTTCAACTGGAGATAGCTTGATTTTAATCTTTCTTACTTGACTATCACTGTACCATTTTGATGCTCTTGTATTCTTAATTTGAGGTTTCCTTTAAGATACATATAATAAAGACTGTTGCTTAAAGTTGATCAATGAAATAGCAGTTACTTTCAAGATGCATCATGGGAATACTGTTAGTGCTGAAAAGGGGGGGGGGGAGTTAGTCAAGAGGGGCCTTATGTAAGACAGCAGGGGTGTAGTGAAAGTGGGCCTAATGTTTTTGAACAAAAACCAGGACACAAACCCTGTGTCCTACATGTAGTTTTCCAGTGAAGACCAAATGCAATTAATATCAAATTGTAACAGTTTCATCCTGTGACACAAACAGTACCAATTTACATTGTAAAGTACACAGTGCAGTTTTATTAGTCTGTTGAATTTACAGTTTCATTCATAAATTATGATAACAGTATTTCATGACATTGGAAAAGTGCAGTGCCCTACAACTACTGTTACAACTTTCTCTGTGAGTGGTCTAAGTTGTAGCAATCAAGTGATTTTGACTGAACTACTGGATCGTAAATTTTACTTTTTTGTCTGAGATTAAAATCAATAATAGTGTATGCACATGTCGTTTGAGTGTAATATAGACTACCAGCATTGTGTTGGCTTCACCAATGAAATTATAGTGTCCATGTGACAAAAATTTTAATTCACGTGATCAAGAATGACACAGCAACAGCCAAAATTTAGTGACTAAATTTTACCACTCTATTGATGTCCATAATATTTGTACTGATCAATTTTCTTTAAATACTTTACAAGCCAACACCAAGTTAAACTACATCACACTATGTACAGTGACTGGAAAATGATCGTTTTTACATGTATCATTAACACATCTATATTATTTTATTACTTTTTCACTATTAATCACTGAGTATGTACAGACTCTGCATGAAAAAGTGATCTACAGCCATTTCACTGGCCTAACTAAAAACATTCATATATTAACACCAAATCGTAGAAAAGAAGGTAAAGTTACTCAACAGATAATTCAATGGAAAGCACATCTACCCCTTGTGCTGTGTCCTCACCAATCAGCAGGTTCCTCAAATACTTTTTCGTCTTTCTTTTGCTTCTTTTTGGCAGGCTCTGGAGATTCTTCATCATCCACTATCTCCCCTTCTTCTGGTTCACTGCTTTCATTGGTTTCTGTCTTGCCTACCTGGATTTCTTTGGGTGATGAAGTTTTCCAAGTGACCTCCATGTGCCTTGGTCTTTTAAGAGGTGTATGCCTCTCATATTCAAAGCCTTCGTCATGCACACCATGTAACTGACGCTTGTGCTCAGCATAGGAAACTATAGTGAAACATTCTCCTTTACAATCTAGTGTACTTAACACCTTGTTGGCATTCTCCCTTCGAGCCAGTGAGACAAAAGCAGAGGTGCTATTGATCCAGGAGATATAAACGAAACCAAAGTTACTGAACATGTCAAGAATGTCTCCTTGCTTCCAGTCACTTGGGAATGTTAAATAGAACACATGATCACGGGGAGGATTCAGGTCAGCCCCTGCTAAGTTCAGGTAAGGAACATCTTCCATTCGCATGACAAAAAGTTTGTTCAAGAATGGAACCACCAAGGAAGAATCTGGTATGATGTTGATCTTTGGAGGTTCTTGGAAAGAACTAAGGTAGTTTGCCATGGAAATAAATGCAAGTCCGGTGATGTAAGCATCGTAACCTGCCTCATGAGGTTTCTCATTGCTATCTCCATAATCACTGAACCCCTCGTCAAATTGCACCGCAACCTTCTGAAATGGTTTCTTTGAGACATGCTTAACAAGATCTGCCAGTACAGAAGAAGGAATAAGATCTCTAAAGGGCTGTGTGTTTGCCATGACTTTTGTGTCAATAAGCCTTGGAAATACTGCACTGATGGTAGCCTTGAAGTCATCAAATTTTTCTGGCAGTGGGCACAAAAACTGCTCAATTACATGAATCAGATCAAGAAACATGTTGTGTCCCACAACCAATTTACCAGACTGCGAGATCATTTTCACAACTTGTGTGAAACCAACAGCATTTTCAATCAATTCTTGTTCTTTTGCCTCTTTTTCTTCTTGCATTTTCTTTTTTTCATCCTCATTGACCTTAGTCACCACGATGAATCGTTCCTTCTTCTCGTTTGTTGCTGCTTCCATGTGGATCCCAGACTTAAATCTTTGTTTAGCAGTTTGGTAAATCAGCTTTCTTAGATAACCATTGCATGGTGGAAATTGAGTGACCTTCCCCTCCGGATCCTTAAGCATTTCTTCTATACTGTCACAAGCTTTCTCTACAAACTCCTTGTGTTCCGGGGGAACAGTTGCTCTCTTCTGAGAAGATCCCCCACTTGCTTCAGTAGTGGAATCCGGGGAGGTTAACGAAGTTGAAACAAATGAATCTTGCGTGTTCCTCGCGAGAAAATGTTCCCTCAATTTCTGCTCATCATACGGTCGCAAATAGGAAATTCCTTCACGAAAAAGTTTGTTGAAGTCGAAGCCGTGCTCAGTAAGAAAATCAAGACTGGAACTTTGACACAAAAAGCGCACATCTGGACATTGCCTATTCCACACCTTTGGAAAGATGTAAAAGTTAAAAGGCTTTGCGATGTACAATTCTTGGTTTTTATCCCAAGTAAAGGTACATAATCCAAATTGAATAATGATGAACTCTTTAGAACCTTCCTTGAGTTTAGAGTAGCGTTCCTGTGGCGTGTCGAAAGAGTTTTCGACTCCCCATTTCACGTTCAGGCCCGAAAATTCCGCGTCAATTGCAAGTAAGGAAGCTGAATTTATCGCTTCAGAGATAGCAGGGAGCGATTGAAGGAAACTGGAGCGCAAAACCTCCATTACCAGGTTACGAAGACTAAAACGCCCGCCATGTGTGTCAAGTGCAAGTTCATCAATAATTCCGCGGTAATCTTAAACAACAGAGAGGGTGTTATGGCGCACAACCGCATATTTTATTATTGCTGGCGTCGAAGCTAATCGAATTCGTGACGTCACGTGGTAACTAAGATCACGAAGTCAATGCAGTTGTCAATTTATTTAGCTGATTTACCCACTTTGTCGGGTGCAAGAAGTCAAACTGCACAAATTTGTCAGTTGGGGAGGAAAAGGCCAATAACCATTCATGTTGCTGTGCAACATCGGGGCAATCTTTTCCGGTTGAAAGTTAAGTCTCTTTGTTGACATTCAACTTGTTTTTCGGCTTTGGTACGTTGCCCTTGGTTGGCGACAAAAAAAACTCTAAGGTAAGTTATGATCAGTGTTTCAAGACCTTTTGTGGGAAAATTATGCTGTTACTTAGTTTAATACTGGTAGGCTTCGTATGCCAAACTTTTTTGTAGTATTATTTTGTGAGTTATAGTCTTTTGGACTAATTTTTAGTGCTAAAAACAAACTTCATGAAATACACACAGCGATTGTTTTAATTACGATTTGGTAAACAGTGAGCTTAAAATAATTAGTTTTGACCAAAAGAACCTTTTGACGGTTACACTTGAGCTTATTTGTAACGCTGTAACACCTTATCTCTGTGTGCTCTGTTTTCTGGAATACAGAGGGCAGCAATTTTTTGTCGATTCAATGCAGGTTCGAAATCACGTTCATTCGTTAATTAAGCTTACTTGGTATTAAGAAAAAAACATGAAAGTTCAGTTTTATTGGGACAAGTGGTAGAGATGATGTTATATATAAAGCATTGTTTTGATATAAGAAAGATAATCCGGTCTATAACACACGTGGGAAAAAAATAAATTTCTCAGTTTACCAGTGTTTGGATGCTCTTAATCGCTCAGACTTACTGCAGAGATGCAGAATTTTCACTCAGTTTTTATGCAGGCAGCTCTTGCTAGAGTGAACAGCCAATGTTTCCATCTTTTTCTGAAGAAGTAGACAAATGCCTTGCTGGGTAGCCAAGATCATGTAGTAGATGGTGATTTTTACTGGCAGCTGATTGTTTGAGAGTCTCCTGGATACAGACTAAAGCTCAAGGTGTTTTGGAGTAGTTTTGAAATCTGAGCCCAGATAAGAAGGGTGTGGTAGGGTGCAAATATGTGGTTCTTTACACAATTTTATTGATTGAACCTGCCATTTTTTTTTTTTGGNGGGGGGGGGTTGACAAGAGGCACTTTGCAATGATCACTGATACCATTTACTCATGCACCATAAAATCCCATGTTTAATGCCCCTCCAGTTAAAAGTCCCCCCCCCCTTGGATATAAGCCCCTCTATTTGTCAACAAAGATATTATTCTGGATATAAGCCCATCTAATATATACACTTGTGCATTCCTTTCTAAACATCAACATTTTTAATCGAAAGTTATAGGGTAATAAAGTAGTAATAGGGTAATAGCTCTAGATGAAATGGTATGTTAATTAGCTTTAATTCATTTCTCAGATATGTTTTATCTTGTCATTCTGAAACATTTTTTTTATTCCGTTTGTATACCCCTGGATATAAGCCTCCCCCCATCTATAAGCCCACCCAAAACTGCTTATGAAGTTATATAAGCCCAGGACTTNCATAATCTCTGATTACTACTAGTCTAGAAATATTTCTGACTGATGATTTTTATTGCACTTTGCAAGACCAATTATTACTCCGATTTGCCTGTAGATACCAATTTTAACTAAACTGGATATTGATAACAGTGTAAAAGACTATCACAAAAATGTTTTTTTGTGGAAATAAAATGCCACACTTTGACTTGCTGAAAATGGCTAAAATTTGGATCATGCTCATTAACAATTCGGGGGCAATATTTGGCCCCTCGTGAAAATTGTAGAATAAAGCAAAAGACCTCAAATATATCATAGTCAACTACAGCAATATTAATTAAATAAAGAGACAAATACTATCGGATGAAAATAAGAGTTTCTGGAATTTGTACGAAGTATCTTTTAGGCTCACCTAAAGATGTCCAAAATTTCGGCCATTTTAGACTGCTTGAGAGGCCAAAATCATGATATGGTGATATCTCGAAGAAAGACGAATGCCTACCTTGGCAAATGTCATGGTTGTTTATCTTTTCAGATAGCTTTTATACTGTGAGAAGATGAAGGTAAACGGCCGACCTCTGAGTCAATCTTTTGGTCCTGCCTAGTTTTCTCTGACAATGATGACACTTAAGATCCAAAGCATGTACAACTAAGCACCTTTACAGGTGGAAGACGCAGAGATCATGCCAACCTGAAAATAGTCCAGGAGGTCACCAATTTTACCTTCCCAACCATGAAAAATATTGTTTTTAGCCACAAGCGTACATCAAATATTCCAAAATGTTCCCCCAAAATGTCAAATCCAGGAGGTCTGTTACCCATACAACTACATGCAGGAGACTGGGAGATTTAGTCTGTGTCTGGGAGACTCCCTGATAATCCACAGAGTTGTCATCTAGATGAAGTTGATTTCTTGCAGTCTACAGTGAATCAGCGTGGTCATTGCATGCAGTTTTTGTTTACTTCCACAGATAACAAGGAGATGCAACATTATTTTAAAATGATTGAGACAAACAAGTGCACAGCTACAGCATTTGTCAGTTGACAATGATGAAGGACAACAAAACAAACGCCACTAGACAAGTACACTTTGCCAATGGTTTCCCTCCGAAAGGTTTGGTACAAGCTGCTGTTCCATATGGACGGTCATCTTATACATCACCTGCAGGGCATTATATAAGCTTGGTATGTGCAGGTGTAAGGCATACAGCATTCAATCAATAAATTTATTAATTAATTTAAAAGTAAGTATGAGTTTTCCTTTGAAGTTAAACGGTTGATGGAAGAAAAAGTGAGTCACCCACTGGCGACTAGTTCTTAATATTTGCTTGCCATTACACTTGATTTTTTGTCACATTGGCAACAAGTAAATCACAATTTTGAGCCCTGTACATAATTCCACTTTTGTTGAGGGATATATTAAATTATCATAACATGGTAAGTTAGTTTTTGACTTGGAATATAGCTTTTTCACATTGTATAGTTATGTGGGCAAATTTCACTCCTTCCTATGCTCCTTCCTTGATTTGTGACAAACTTGTTGTTAAACTTTTTTTGAACTCTATCGCTGACCAATGTATGAGGCATTCACAGTCACTTGAGTTCGGAAGTTGTACCATAATGATATCAAAGTTAATATTAAGGTATTTGAGATGTTGAAATTGTTGAGGTGTAATTGATTAGAAACAATTTCATCACCAACAGATTTTTGTTATTTTTTAACTGGCAATGTTTCTTATTTGTAACATGTATTTGTCTCTCTGCAGGATGAAGTATCGCCTGGCCGAGTGGGAAGGACACATCGGACAATTCCACCCCTTGCTAAGGGGCGTGGTCAGTTCTGTAGTGTGAAAGCCAGACAAGAAGATGATCGATATGTAAGCCACCACTCATAAATAATTATAGAATGATTCTCCTTACATTTTTTTTCAGTATGACTCAATTTAAAGAACATACTTTAAAGAGATATTGAAGTCATGGCATATTAGTCAAAGATTTTCAGTCACCTTCACCAGAAGCCATGCGCTTCTTAAGAATCTGTTGAATTTTTCATGTGCTCCCTGTTCCACACACCTCTACTGGCAAGGTTCATTGTTTCCAGAGTGGTGCATGGCCCCTCACCTCTGCTCTATCTCCACCACACACCTACAATTCTTAGATCAAGATCAGTCTGACCTGATGGCTCCACAGTTTTACTAGTTGCTAACTTTGTTTAATTTTTTGTGTGAATACAGAGAAGGAGGCCAGATCCCTTCAAATTGCCTAAGGCTGCTGAGAAAACTGGATTTTCTGCTTCACAAATCAAGGTTTGTACTCAGTGTTTCATGTTTGGGACTGTCTGTAGCAAAATTAAATGTAAAAACCTCAGCCAAAATAATTATGACACATAAATGTTATTGTCCTTATTCCCACTGTTTTGATGGGTGTGAGATACCCCTCACGTCTTACCTTACTTTAAAACTACCCATAAAATTGAAGTAACATCAATTTAATAATTCCTGAGTTAAAAGTGTTAGGTTTTTGTCTTTGGAGTACCAGGATTTCAAAAGATGTTGTGCAGTCTTGATCTACAGTACAACAAAAGATCTAATTTGTGCAGGAAGGTATATAAATTACAAGGTTTTGTAAGATGTAAATCAATGATGATTTAAATGTTATTGAAGAATGATACCAACAGAGAGTTTCTGAAGGTTGCAGGAGATAGCCTACAGAGTTGCTCATGAAAACTCTGACTACCTGTACAGTACAGCTATTTGTAGATTTAGACTATATTCAGGCATGAGAAATTGGCCTGATAGTTTAAATTGAGATCAATAATTTTGATAATTCCTGAGGACTGGCAGGTATATAATTGCGATATTCTACTGATCTGTGAATTGTCCATCTGATATTGCTGTATGTTATTATTCATTAGCGTGCCCAGCCCAGAATGATACGACTGTGCCGCTCAACTGAGCCACCATCCCCTACGCCAGGAACTTCAACTATGTACAATCTGAAAAATTTGGCAAGGTAGGTGTTGCAAAAGCTCGTTGCCAGTAAGGCTGGTTATATTGCACCCTGACAGCCACTCCCTTGGACACATTGTTGACTGAATTATACTAAATATAATGTATTCACTGTTACCCCTGGCAATAAACTGGTGTTCAGGAAGCAAATTATTAATTGAGGGACAGCTAGCTTGTGGATCTTACATTTAATCAAAATAAAGCATTCCTGACCCAACAATAAGTTATGTTTCCCAATGAATTCATTTAATATTAATAGAATTTTTTTTTCATTTCTTGTTTCAAACTTGCATTCTTCAGGTCCAGTACTTACTAAGACCTGCTCCAAAACTTGACTTTTGATTTGAAGTATATGTAAGGATGTGTGACTTGGCCTATTTTAAGCCATCTTGATTTATGTTTATTTACATTTTTATTAACGACAGGAGGTCAGTTTATTCAACCCCACCAAACAGGCCTCTGGAAAGTGATTTTGAAGACAATATTGTTTCACCATCAGTGGAACTCAAGTCCAAAAACAGCAAAATTATATCTGATGTTGAGAAAGAAAGTATTCAAGCAGAGCTTGCTGGGCTAGGGGAAGTTTACCAGCGAGTGTGTCATGTAAGCAAACAAGAACAAATCTCATTGAGTGTGTAATAGCGGAGCCCCATACTCGTATAAGAAAAGAAAAGGAAACCCATGAATTGATTTTCTCATAGTTATCATGGCTAGCGGTATTGTTTGTGGGCGCGTACACATGACGACGGCAACGATGATGGAGTCATGCAAGATGGCGGCCATACTCCAGCTAATGGGCTGACAGAGACACGCACCCTCAGTTTCTAGCATCCCTCTTTGATATTGGACATCCATGTTATGGTCAATTGACACCTGTCAAAACAAGGTATCCGCTGACCAGTATCATGTGACCATATTGTGGGTTCAAGTTTAGAGCTCATCGAGGTCATGTGTTTTTTGAAGTTGACCGCTGACCAAGTGCTGGTTTTTGATTGGATCACGGGCTCATGTCAGGTTAACCTGTTGGCTGGGTTGTTCGGAAGCTGGTTAACGCTAACCCGAGATTATAAAAGTTAAGCGAAGTATAATTTTTCTTGTCTACAAATGTTTTTCACTGCTTTTGTTTTGTATATTTTGAGGACCTCAAGATTATTCAAACTCAAAACAGAAGGCCAAACAACAGAAACAGAAAACCTCACCGTTAAGTTACAAAACTCAAATCAAAATTCTCACGTATCCTGGGTTAGCTTAATTGGGCTTTGAACAACCCGGCCCAGGAGCTCCGATTTTAGGCTTGGCTAAATCTATATATTATTAGTTTTATTATTAATCTAATACCCCATTCACACCAACTAAACTAGGTTAATTAAACCAGGTTTAGGTTCATCTAATTTGTCGATTACGCTTTGCAGTCATTTTGAGAGGACAAATTTCAAACCACCTTGCTTACATATTTTAATGAAACAGGTTTTTACCTTGTTAAGTTGTGGGGTGTGCACGGTATTAGCAACTAATTTTTAACCTTGTTTTGTTAAACCACTTTTAAACATGTTTAACATGTTAGTGTGAATGAGGTATAAGACATCCATTGTCAACAGGGATTCAAAATCAGCCCACTTCATACGTCATTGGTCTCATTCTCATCCTCATCACCATCATCAATGTCATTGTCTTCGCCGTTGCCAACACCAATGTCATTGCTGTTGTCATCAGCCAAACTGCAGTGCCGCTCCAGATGGGACTGGGACATGGTTTCAAGAAATGCTGATCAATTTGCATGATACTATTTTATTGCAGCTGCAACAATTTTCTTCTATTTTATCTTGGCAACAATTGCCTTCCCAGGGTTTTAAATTTTCTTCTCCTAGAAATGCTTTCCTTTTCGTTCCAATGGGTCACTGCTGTGAATTGCTGTCAGAGGCCATGTGAGCAACAAAATGAATAGAAATTTTGAAACCAAGAAATATGAAACCAACAAAGTATGATGCGGGCTGAATTTTGGCCCATGTGAACGGAAAGCCTGAGTATGAAAATGTAGCTAGATGTAAGTTGCAAGTGGTTAAAATTATTATTGGGTGAAACTACAATGACAGACAAAAATGTTGACACATTTGAGCAAAACAAACACTTTCTAGCAGCGTCCTTCCATAATTGAAAAAAAAACATCTTTTTTTGTCGATAGCCAAACCCCTCTCTCCCCCTTTTCAATGTTGAAATACGCTTTGTGGACACTGTCATGTGGTTACAACATTGAAAAGGGGAGAGGGGGTCGAAATGTGAAAATTGGAGATCGAAAATCTCAGGCATTCAACAAAACAGGTTTTTTNCGGCATGTTTGTTTTTTTCAGTCCTTGTGCGCATGCTGAATTGCATCAGCAAAAGCGCACCGGAAAACTGTGTTCGGCCACCTTAAGCCCTTTAGCTTTGAGAACTTTTTATATATTTTGATGAACTTGTATTGTGTGCTTTTTATGTTCTACTCCTTGTATATAATATTATGTTCATGTGATGTTCTGTTAGAATGGCTCACCAAAGTTGAAATTTGTTTTTGTTATATACATATAGGGGAAATTGGAGTCACTATACAGTTTGCTGTATCCAAGCCGAAGAGAGGCAAAACGGGGACCATTTCAATATATCAACACTTCTGCACCGGTGCCTCTGAGGTAAATGAACAGTGTTTTGCTGGTTTCTTATAGTACTGAAAATGTACAGGTCTGTGTACCTTCTGAATTACCCAAAATTCAGCTGGCAGTACACTGTCTTTCAGCTTGTGAAGTTAGCCATCAGCTGGCTCTTAGCTTCTTCCCTGACTTAGTGGTCTACACAGTGAAATGATCTTGCACAATTTTGATGTACAAAATTTTATTTTGCAAATGTTAATTGCAAGTCATTGTTTTTCAAAGAACTCCAAAGGTTAATCAACATTACCATGTCAAGAAGCCTACTAAAGAACAAAGTCCTGTCAAGGCAGAAACAGATGAAACAAATGATGTCCAGAAGACAAAGCATGAGGACAATGGATCCTCTTTCCTATCTGATTCAGAGGCGAAGCAAATCGAGTAAGTGTCAGTGCTAACATTTATTGGCCAGTTGTTGACTAATCTGCTTTGTCTGCATTATGTTGTTGTTGTTTCAATTCTTGTATCAATTAAGCCGACTTCTATTGTTTTCCATTTTTTATTAGAAAACGACCTCAGGAAAGTGCCTGCCAAAAGCCATACTTCTATTCAACAACTAAATTAAGAGCTCGAGATGTTTATCATGCATAGAAATCAAGAGCACATAATCCAGAATTGTTTTAATTTAAATCAACAAGTCGCTCAAAACTGTATCTAAATCCTATTCACTGACACTTCAAAAATGCGAAGAAGTGGCAGTCTTTTTGTTAACAACCACACACTGCTGGGCTACTCACTATCTACAACAGAACAGATAGACTCATAGTAAGTAGCGTAGCCAATGCGAGAATGGCTTACATGATAGAATGCTAGTAGATATATACTAAACACCATAGTTGTAAACACAGAAAATGTTTTGTTTCTTAAAAATCGATGACTGAAGTTTATAGTTAGTCTTTCAACATGGAACAGTCTGCATGCAATGTATTATCTACTGAGATAACTCCAACTTTCTCATCTTGGGGGTGGGGGGTGGGGCATGGTGAAATTTGTACAGAGGCGTAATGATAATTTAAAGCATTTATATGTGGCTCCCATTTTACTCATT